GTCTGAAATGCAGCGGTCAGCATCCTGGTGTTGCCATGGCAACGTGAACAGATTTGCTGTAGAATCTCTTTCGTCTGCCTTTTTGTAACCATCTTTGTTTTGGAAATTGGAAAAGCATCCTAAATTACTGAAAAGTGATTAGCTTTGCCTTTTGGCCACTGTTCTGAAACCAGAGAGCAGCAGACAGCACAAGGCAGTTTTGAATATGGCTTTGAATATTTGCACTTTTTTTTTTGCTGACATGCAAATCACATGCAAATGTAAAAGATGTGTTACGAGTGCTGACATACGCCATTATTTAGCAGATAACAGGATCATAGCTCTCCGGGAGGTTCACATTCCAAGTGGAGCCCAAGTAACCAGCATAAGACATGTGCGTTTTTGACTAGATGTTGAGATTTAATAAAGCTATGTATTAAATGAGTATTGTCTCTCCTTACAGATACTAGCTCATTCTTTCAGGCTCGACACTTCTCAGACAATACTTAAGGTACTCTATCTGCTCCATATTTGTAAAAAATGAAATAATTTTGAAATCAATGTGCACATAGGAAACAATCGAGGATGCCTAATTCCATTAAATTCCTGCATGCCACCAAACAGCAAGCACATGTAAGCAAGTCCTTCCTTCGTGTCAAAGGTCTAAAGTCTGTTCATGTACGAGTGTCAGCTTTACCTTTAGTCATTTAGCTTTAGACAACAATGACAATCAAAAGGAATTTGCAGCATCAGAAATTTCCTTTCTTTTGTTATGGGCCAATATTTGGTCCCTAGAATTAATTTGAGGGACTTTTATTTATTTAATTTTTTACATTTATGAGAGCATATTTATTTTATAAAAAATATTAAAATAGTGTGTCACCATCTTATATCAAACACCTGAATTTAATCAATCAATTCTCAAATCATCAAATGCCAGTAGCTGTAAATATTGCACATTAACCACACATGCTGAAATACAGTATATTTTACATAAATGGCTGACTTGGTTAAATGAATTGTTCACCCCAAAAACGAAAATTTGCTGAAACTTAACTCACCCTCAGGCCATTCAAGATGTAGATTAGTTTGTTCCTTCATCCGATTTAGAGAAATTGATCATTGCATCACTTGCTCACCAATGGATGCTCTGCAGTGAATGGGTGCCGTCAGAATGACAGCCCAAACAGCTGATAAAAACATCACAATCATCCACAACTAATCCACACCACTCCAGTCCATCAGTTAACGTCTTGTGAAGTGAAAAACTTCATCAAGATGTTTTAACATTTGCTTCTGGCCAAATTGCTTCAGGTCCATAATCCATGATAACTCTTCCTTCAGTGGAAAAGTCCATCTCCTGTTGTCCTCCAATTTCAAAATCCACGGCATATATCAACCGAGTGGTTGAACTAGGTATTGCAGTCCAAATGAAATGTTTGGACTAATGTATAATTGAAATAAAAACATTGGAGAGGGGTTTTTTTCCACCTCAGACTTGACGCACACGCAGGTTGCCAGATTGACGACACCAACAGGAACAAGCACACTTGACGATGAATTAAATTAAATACGCTGTGTTTTCAACCAACTTGCAACCTAGGGTGCCGAAATACAATTGGGTAAACTGGCAGTGGGCGGGTTTCACAAACCAAAACAGAGACCGACATTCCGGCCCGGAACACACATTTTCAAAGGAGAATATCTGACTGTAGCACTGTTTTTCAGATAAACAAGTATGTTAGCTTAGCATGTTCGAGTGGTTGAACTAGGTATTGCAGTCCAAATGAAATGTTTGGACTAATATATAATTGAAATAAAAACATTGGAGGGGTTTTTTTCCACCCGGCCTCTCCTCCTCAGACTTGACGCACACGCAGGTTGCCAGATTGACGACACCAACAGGAACAAGCACACTTGACGATTGAATGAAATTAAATACGCTGTGTTTTCCACCAACTTGCAACCTAGGGTGCCGAAATACAATTGGGTAAACTGGCAGTGGGCGGGTTTCACAAACCAAAACAGAGACCGACATTCCGGCCCGGAACACACATTTTCAAAGGAGAATATCTGACTGTAGCACTGTTTTTCAGATAAACAAGTATGTTAGCTTAGCATGTTTCTTAAACATCTGCAAACATATTATGGTATTTTATACTTTAGTAGACTCAAAAACTTACATACAGCACCTTTAATGCTGTATTTGTTTCTTAGAAAAACAGCTTTTCACAAGATGTTAACTGATGGACTGGTGTGGATTAGTTGTGGATGATTGTGATGTTTTTATCAGCTGTTTGGACTCTCATTCTGACGGCACCCATTCACTGCAGAGCACCCATTGCTGAGCAAGTGATGCAATGCTACGTTTATACAAATCTGATCTAATGAAGAAACAAACTCGTCTACCTCATGGATGGCCTGAGGGTACGGGTTATTTTTGGATGACCTGTTCCTTTAATGTCTGTCCATGGTCATTTCTCTCTGTTTATTATGCTATCATTTCTTAGTCATATTTTCAGGATTGGCTATTTATGTGTTCATTTGCTCATGCTCTTTGTACCCAGGCCGTACGTCCTTGAAGTGGCCAAACACTACCAGCATGGTATGACAACTTCTGGGCTTTTGTTCCCCCTCTAGCTTTATTATATTAACAAAAAATGCCATAATTTTCCTTATGAATATAGTCAATCCAAGACCCAGACGTATTCCCATGACTGTTATTAATAAAACCCTGAAGTCGAGACTACAGAGCATTGTGAAAAGGGTGAGACGTTCAGTCCGCAGTCTCTAATACTGAAACTGCAAAACAAATTCAGTTTCAAACTACCTCGATGACAAAGTGTGAACATTGCTCTCTCGTGTCTGCTCTTATTGCAGATTGAAAGATTAGAAGAACTGTTGCCTCAAATCAAACTGAAGCACCATGAAAGACTGACAAAGGTGAACTTCTGATCTGATGCTATGTTTAACTCGGTCTTCTTTCCTGCTGTGATGTTTTTCCCGTTGAAACAGAATGTTGCTCATTCATTCTGAAGTATAAGAGGCTTTAGTTACGTCACAGATGATTTGCTACTTGCTATTAGGCCTAGGCCGAGAGCATTTGACTGGACACACATTTCTGTAAGTCATCAGGAGGATAGACTGTACGTTTTATATACAAATATATCTTTCTTCACAAACGAATGCAGGTAAAATGTTATTCCTCATTTGTAGCTGTGTGACTATTATCAAGATGTCAAAATAAGCATTACTAAACTAATCTGTATCAACAATGTAATCTATTTTGCATATAAGGGAATGTCATGTGGGAATGTATGTATTTGCCATAATGTAATCTCAGCGTCTATTGGTTTCAGACGGAGTTGTATAATAACTCAAATCATGCATTTTGTCTGTGTATTCAGGTTTAAAATGCATGAATGGGATTTCATTATATATACGTCTATCTACAGATAAATACTGCATGAGATTTTCTCAGAATATACTTCACTTTTCGGAGCCATTTTTGCGACACCTTTTATCCAGTTGGATTTTTATTCCGGTGTAGAGAATCTCTTTAACTATCAACATGATCCACGAACGTTTCATAATCCATTCAAGATGTAGACGAGTTTACCGATTTGGAGAAAGTTAGCATTGCATCACTTGCTCACCAGTGGATGCTCTGCAGTGAATGGGTGCCGTCAGAATGAGAGTCCAAACAGCTGATAAAAACATCGCAATTCATGGAAAGATGGCAAAATTGAAATGTATTGAACATGTTTCATAAAATCACAGAAAATATGTGATTAATATCCGTAAAATAGCCAATATTGTTTGTCGAAGAGTTGCAAAAATAAAGTTCTAGTACTTCGTGTGTCCTCCATAACTTAAAGTATATTGCCCTGACCCTTCACAGTGTACAGGTTCATGACAAATCATCACATCTCTCTTGTGTAACTCCTGGATGACGACATAGAATGTAGAATAAGAAGAATAAGTTACCAATCAAATGAAATCAGTATTAACAAAATTAATTTGTACAGGAGGTGGCACTGAAGAACGCAAAAGTGGCTTGTAGGTGTATTTTCAGACATTTAACGAGGCTCAGAGGTGGCATTAGTGCAATTAAAATTATTTTCCTTAAGTAGTGTGAGAGCGCAACGATGCTCTAAATGTGTTGGCATTGCAACGTGATACCTCCCGTTTCCTTTTCCGCCTGTCCTACGAAGGCAGTCTCGATTCATTCTAGGTTGAGGACACTTCGTATATGCATCCTACAGAGGATGCGACCTCCAGAGGATTCGACCTCCGGAGGGCGCAGCCTTCTAAATGAGACACAGCTAATGCAAGTCACTTAATATGAACTTCTTGTTTATTGAACTGTTGTTTTAAATCAGTATCACATTTACAAACTCCCTTAAAAATCATTAAAAGCTGTCACTCATCTTAGTTCATCGCAATCTCGAATTATAATCAACGAAGCTCTCTACACTGCACAATGAATCTTTTATTTACACCGTCTACTCTTTTCTTCTGAAAGGATTCATGAGATAAGTCTGTGATACATTACTAAACGCTGCAAAAACACGTAGAAATCTTTGAAGCTCCCCTGAGCGCAATCACAAGTACGATGATGATCTGGTCAGTCGCACTGGTGCTCCTAAATATTTTTTTCATAGTCGCACGCAGTAGCACGTATTTGCGACTGAAATGGTCGCACTGTAGAGCCCTGCGAAATGGTTGACTTGTGAACTTCCAGAGGTCCATATTTTGTAAATAAGGGCTTTGGAAAAGGCTAAACCAGTTTGTGCTTAAGGTAGTTCCAGTGTGGACAACAACCATGCATTTCACTTCTGCATGTTGCAGCTTACTGTTGGGAGACGAAACTCGCTCTTTTTAATAGCTTTTGCAGGCTCGGAGATGCTTGCTTGGTATTCAGCTCAATTCTCAGAGAGAGAAAAAAAAAGACTCGTCACGAAATGAAAGCTTAAAGGCCCGAAAATAGACGAGCATCTTTCACCACATTATTAAAAAAAAAAAAAAAATTTATTTGATCAATTACATACTGGTGTTCAGAAAATAAAAAGGTCACAAATACTGACACAATGATCCACTACTGAAAATAAGAAAAGAAAAAGAGCATTCAAATCAAGCTGATGGTTACTGGAAAAACACTATGTACATAAACGAGGGTACGATGGACAAGACGGATACATCAGGAGGACACAGACTCGTGTGTCATCACCTCTGCTACCATACTGCGCTTCGATCATTCAGTTATCAATTACAGACGTCGTCGACGGGAATATTAAACAAATCGGAACAAAAAACAAAGAACAAATGGTCTGGGTTAACAGTTCTAGTTGCGTGCATCTTTGAATCGTTGAAAACTAAAATGCTCTTTCTTATAGAGCTATCCTTAAAATTTTCCCAGTGGTCTGAATTCAAAGGGGAAAGTGTCCTGAAAATAATCAGCACCTTCAGGAACGGCTCTTCTATTCAGTTTTGGATTTTTTGCTGTCGTTGCCGTTTTCCTCCTCTGGCTTTCGCTTCTTGGTGCTCCCCTCTATGTTGCTCCCAAGGTGTGGGGAGAAGGTGATAATTATACAGGTCATGTTGTCACATCCTGTACCATCTCCTGAAGTGTCTGGTGCTAAGCAGTGGTCCAGCAGCTAGACGGTAAAGAGAAAGAGAGAGAGGGGGAGAAAAAAAAAAAAAAAAAGTTGACCGATTTTTTTTTCCCATTCATGATTCTAATGACTACAAGACTATTAGTGACAAATAATGATTTATTAATGCCAATCGTAATTGTTTTTTTAAAGGTTTAATTTCAGAAAACTGCATAAATACATATTTCAGTGGTGGTTTCCAATACTAGTGACATTATGTAATTTCAAAACTGCAGCAAACCAACAACAACAACTGTAAATGGCATGTAATCTTGTAGCATTTTTTAATTAAACACTGCATCACATTTTATAAAGTAATAATAAAAAAATTAAATAAATAAAAAAGCTTAATCCTGAAACAAAATGCACTGTTTTGAAGTCACTTAAAACATATCTGGGGGGCCGTTTGCACGAAGTTTTCAGCAAAAAACGGGAAACTTATGCGTTTTGCCTGTTCGTTTACATGACAACGGCGTTTTGGGGACTAAAAACGCATATTTTTGGAAAAGGGTTTGAAAGTGCAAGTTTCTGAAAACGACACCGTTGTCATTTCCGTTTTAAATTTGCACTTTAAACACACAAAACGGGAATCTTTGAAAACGGTGATGTCATGCGCGTGCGTAGTACGTGTCAATTTTAAAGGTAAGCACGGACAAACATACACAACATGGTGGGCAAAGAGGTGGGAGCTGGTTGCTGAAGCCACACCCACCTAGCTCGACGCCGGTGACAGCAGCGGCAATCCACCTGTCACTCAAGTGGTCACGCCCTTAATTATGCAGAACTTTAAGGCTCAATATAATTTAAACGGATGAGTTATAAATAAAAAATAAATTCACCCCCTCACAGTTGTCATCAAGGGCAAAATTAGCTATATAGACCAAAATCATTTTTTGAACCAAGCTGTAAACATGTTTTTTTCTACTGTAAAGTTGGGCATTTTAACATGGGGAGTCTATGGGATTGACTCCCGTTTGCAGCCAGCCTCTAGCGGCCAGTTGATGAATTACAGTTTAAGTCACTTCCTTGTTGGCTTCACCAGAGAGCGAGAGGGGGAGGTTGCCGCTTGTATACAACATATAATCGTCACTTCCCTACAGGTACTGTTTACTAACAAGGTGACAGCGCCAACTACTGGCCTGGCATACGTAATACAGCGTTTTTGGCCGTTTTCGCAGATATGTGTAAACGCGAATCATATTGAAAACGTTGTCGTGTATACGTGAACATTTTTAAAAGCGCAAGGTAAAAACGTTTCCGTTTTTGACTACACCGTTGTCGCGTAAACGTAGCCTGACTCTGTTTGCATATTTAACATTAACATCTTGCCAAGAAGGGAATTTTAAATCAAGAGCACTTCTCACAGATCCACAGAGCTGCATTACTGAAATCATGAGCACTTAAGCACACAAACAGACTTTTTTTTTCCTCTTCCCAAAACACTTTCCAGTACTTACCTCTTCAATAATGGCAGACAGGGGTCTGTTTTTACCAGCCTCAGTTTTCAATCTCTCATTTACAAAGTCCACCACTTCTTGACTGCTCATCACGTTCCTTTAAAAACACGACGACAAATGTAAACACACAGACAATTTAATCAGCTCATTACAGTTCTTATCTGAAAACTGCAAAAAACTAAACAAAAAAAAACTGACAATGCATTTCTCATGGAGAGGACATACACAAATCACAGTTGACAGCCTAATTAAATCAGGTACTGTTTACTAACAAGGTGACAGCGCCAGCTACTGGCCTGGCATACGTAATACAGCATTTTTGGCCGTTTTCGCAGATATGTGTAAACGCGAATCATATTGAAAACGTTGTCGTGTATACGTGAACATTTTTAAAAGCGCAAGGTAAAAACGTTTCCGTTTTTGACTACACCGTTGTCGCGTAAACGTAGCCTGACTCTGTTTGCATATTTAACATTAACATCTTGCCAAGAAGGGAATTTTAAATCAAGAGCACTTCTCACAGATCCACAGAGCTGCATTACTGAAATCATGAGCACTTAAGCACACAAACAGACTTTTTTTTTCCTCTTCCCAAAACACTTTCCAGTACTTACCTCTTCAATAATGGCAGACAGGGGTCTGTTTTTACCAGCCTCAGTTTTCAATCTCTCATTTACAAAGTCCACCACTTCTTGACTGCTCATCACGTTCCTTTAAAAACACGACGACAAATGTAAACACACAGACAATTTAATCAGCTCATTACAGTTCTTATCTGAAAACTGCAAAAAACTAAACAAAAAAAAACTGACAATGCATTTCTCATGGAGAGGACATACACAAATCACAGTTGACAGCCTAATTAAATAAGACTAGAAATTGCAAATGGCTTTTCAATGACATTTTATTCATCATAATATTTTTGAATTTGTCCAGAAATGATTTAAGGTGACTTTACCCCAATTAGAGGAACAATCATTTCATCTAAAACTGCTACTATAGCCAATTACATGCATAAGGTAGATCCAAGAACTCGCAGTTAAATGCAATGGGGAAAAAAAGCCAAATGCACAAGTATAATCTTGAATCATTCACTTATAATAATTTCAGGGTATATAACTAGCAAAATCGAGCAAATATATTATGAATACTACATTTACAACTTGCAAAAACACTGTGAAAATTCAAAACATAACACACAAAATCATGTTAGTTATATTGAGTTATTAGTCTTACCAGATGCCATCACAGGCAATAACCATAAACTTATGGTCTTCATTGAGAGTCAGCACTTTGACATCAGGTAGAGCAGAGATCATCTGTTCCTCTGGGGGAAGAACCTTGTTCCTTTTATAAAAGTGATCACCTACAAGAAAACACAGTGCTAACATTTTCTGCGGTTCTTAATCGAAAAAGGAAATGTGCAAAATCAAACAATTGCGAAGATAAATCAGCCAGTAAGCAGCAGTGTTACCAATCGCTCTGGAGAGGTTCAGGCCTCCATTGACACGGCCGTCCATCGTCACCTTCCCACCAGCATTCTTTATTCTGGTCAGCTCCAGCTCGTCCTCTGGCTTGTGGTCATAGGACATGTCCACCGCCTTTCCCTTTTCAGACACCACACATCTGGAGTCTCCAGCGTTGGCCACGATGAGCTGCTTCCCACGAATAAGAGCAACTACAGCTGTGGTGCCACTGTCTGAACCTGGCTGAATAACCGAGAAGAACAAAAGTACATAAAACAGACTATGCACATGGTCATGTGACCCACTCCTTACACAACTTATTTTAAGTTTTCAAAGCATTCGCTTGAGGAAGAATTTGCTCACTTAAAACAGTATGCTTATTTTATTTATTTTTCAAAATTACTATTAAGCAAAATCTGATTGCTACAGCAGAGGGGATGATTTGTCCTAAAATGATCTATTTGTGTTCCACAGGGGGAAAAAAAGTAGCAAACTAGTTTCAGAAGAACAGGAACAACATGAGTTCAGGATAGAATGAGTTCAGAAACATTGTCACGTATTTCATTTCATAAATATACACTATATTTTCCACAATTAACCACATCTTAAGAGGCCATGCGACTTATGCTAACCTCCTCTTTTCCGTCCATCCCCGGCAAGCACATATCCTCCTCTTCATCACTATCCTCCTCCTCTCCCTCTTCTGTGTCATCCTCTTCATCGTTCTCACTGCTGTGTTCACCATCCTCCTCACTGCAGTCCTATTGGCCACAACAAAAATAAGTTACAATGATAAACACTTGTGTGCAAAGTAGCACTTTTTGAAATTATTAATATTGCAAAAATGCTAGTAATCTTGAAAATAGCATTCAGTACACAGTATATACTGTGCCATACTCCGAATGTACACTACAGTTTAAAATTTGGGGTTGATAAATTAAAAAAGAAAAATACAGAAAACAACAACAGTAATATGGTGTAACATTACAGCTTAAAATAACTTTTCTATTTGAATATATTTTAAAATGTAATTTATTCCTGTGGTGCAAAGCTGAATTTTCTGCATCATTACTCCAGTGCCACATGAGCGTTAAAAAAAATAATTTTAATATGCCGATTTGCTGCTCAAGAAACATTTCTCATTAAGCAGCAAAAATGGTTTTCAGCATGGATATCATTTTTGTACCTTGATGCATTTTCCCCCAGGATTCTTCAATGAAAAGAAAATTTAAAATAACATTTAGCGATTTGAAAAAACCAAAAAAACAAAACAACTTCTGTAACATTGTTCTTCAGTAACTTCAGTAAATGTTTTACCGTCTCTTCTGATAAATTTAATGCAACCTTGCTAAAGAAAAGTATTAGTTTAATAAATAAATAAATAAAAATACCAATGACTGACCCCAAACTTTTGAATGGTAGTGTTGTATATTTTTTTTTTTTGCCATTTCAGCTTCTTGAATGGATGTGTAGTAGGCTAGTAAGTGATGGTAGTCAATTGATTTTGTGCAAAGTTGCTTTAAAATGTGTATTGTGAAAAGCACTATACATAAACTTGACCAGACCATTATAAACAAAACTTACTCTCCAGTTACCAGGTCAACTGTATTTGAGATTGAACCTGCAATGAAAGCAATTACACAAACCTAGTGCTGAACTGTTCAAACACGCTCGATTTACCCCCTCACCTCTTCCTCACTACCGTCCTCTTCATCTTCTCCCTCCTCCGACTCTTCACAGTCCTCAAAGAACCTGGACTTGGCACTTCCTGGAGCAGGAGCTGCAGACGAGGAGCAGGAAGGACCGGCATCCCCAGTCGACCCAGACTTCTCAGCGAATCCATCAGAAGCAGAGCCACCTCCGGACACAGCCGCCCGTCTGCAGGCCCTCATCTTGGAGCCTCCGGCCGCATCTCCAGCACCGGCTGCCTTCTCCTTCCCATTGCTGTCGGCTTCAGAAGCCCCGCTTTCCGTCTCACCATTGATTCCCTTCTCAGCACGAGATTTCTCTCCCTTCTCAGACTCTTTAGAGGCACCTGGACACGGCTTTTTGGCATTTTTGTTTTGGTTCTGTCCGAAGCGGCTAAGCAGCTCCTCAATTGTCATGGTGGCCTCTTCATGCAGCAGAGCTGCTTCTTCATTATCAACTGACAAGAAAGGTGAACGTTAATTTGTAGCATTCCAATTCTGCATGCATTTTACAACCCAGGGCCTAGTTGCTCAAAAAATTTAATCTTGATCAGAATTATCTGGATTTGGAAATCCCATGTTTTGCTATCCAGGATATCTTACTTTTGTGCTTGTGTTTTGCATTGCATTTACACAAATAAGTACTTCTGACTGGTCCATCTCTAATGATTGTGATAATATATAATAATAATAAAAAAAAAACTTTCAATTAAATATAATATTTTATTTGATATTGGCAGCTGTTTGGGGATAAATTACATGTTACAAATTTTGTATTTTTTTGAACAGTTTTAGTTATATTACATTTTTGCTCCTGAAATCCACCCTTCTGCTGGGATCAGAATAATCCAGTTTTTTTGGATCAAAAGTATCCCGATCTTACTAAAACGTTCTGAACACAAACTGAGGGTTTAATCCAGATCAAAACCAGCTTGGATTTTGTGATCAAATCAGAATTCAGAATCCTTTTTTTCTTTTGAACAACCCATTTTCAAGAACTGATCCAATCCGATGGCCAAAATCCGATCAGATCACCTTTGAACAACTGGCCCCAGGTGACAAAACATTAACTAGGGCTCATTATCCGCAACTCTCATTATATGACGTCACAATTGCTTGCTATTAACACATCACAAAGCAACATTATGTAAAGTTTCATTCAGAAATAACACCATATACCATTAAAAAAGGACAAATATAAATGGTGGCCTATCAATATTAATGTTACATTTATTTTAAAACGCTTGAAAATCATAATCTTGAAAACATTTCTCAGGCACAAGACATTGAATACACACCAATAAAATGCCATAAAAGGATCTAAAGCATTTAGAAAGCATCTTATAACTTCCAACGGGGCTTCAAAATGACTTAAAAACGGTCTAAAAGACGACAAAACAATCTAAAACTACAAATCAAGACATTTCTTCATTTAAATCACTCCCAAATTTCTGGAATTGTACAATTTTATTTTATTTGTAATTATTTTAATCAAGGACACTCAATTTAAATGAAAGCGAAGAGTGCCTTGGAATATTGCTGTGGATTGTAGGGGGCCTTCGAGTCCAAATGTTAGAGAAACATCAGTATGCCTTACATAAAACCCCAAAACTAACCATCATCTTCATCTGCTACTTTTTCCGTTTCTTCCTGAGGACGTCCAGCGATCTGAACGAGCTCCTTGATGACTTCCTCTGTGGTGATTCGGGCATCTATAGCCAGGAACGCATCTTCCAGAGCCTGGGAATAAGATATCATCTAATTAGACTCCGGAAAGTCACATGATAGACAATCATGACAATAAAACAGAGCGATTTTCTGCTAAATCCTGCTGTCTTCGAATCACCTCAGAATGATCGTATTTACAAGCTCGGCTCATGTGAACTCTACCAAAATGCCACAGAGTCGGGGGCATGTGTCAATTAAAAGATTATAGCGGGCACAAACTGATATGGGTCATAATCAGACGAGCACAACAAACAACTATAAGAGGTGCAGCAAGAGTTACCTTCTGCAGTTTGCCATCCTTATACGCCTTCTGCTCTTTAATGACGTCAGGTAAGTACTTGGAGCAATACAGAGCAACCTCTTCACCTGGAGAGACACAGTAAAAGACTCACAAAATGAAATGATCAACAGAATAACTCATTCATGACTATTACACACCATTTTCACCTCATTCTGGAATAGTTCACCCAATAATGATTTTACCTACTGACTGTTCATCTCAGCACAAGGGGAGATTTTTTGTGAATAATGACTTTAAAGGGATAGTTCACTCCAAAAGGGGATATTTTGAAGAATGTTGATAACCAAAGAGTTGACGGTAGCCATCGGCTTCCATAGTTGGCGGTTTTGTTACCAATATTCCTCTAAATATTTTTTAAATATTTGTTCAGTAAAACAAAGAAACGGACAAAGATTTGGAACAACTTGAGGTTGAGTAAATTATGACAATCTTCATTTTTGTGTGCACTACACTATTACTAAAAAAGTAAACCATTTAAAAGGGTCATTTGCTCACAGTCATGTTGTTCCAACCTGTATAACTTTCATCTGTGGACCATAAACGGTGATATTTTGAAGAATACTGGTAACTCTTTTGGCGACCACCGACTTTCACCATATGGACAAAGAAAACACGTGAGACTTCTCAAAATATCTTTTATGTTCAACAGAAGGAGGTCACACAGATGAGAAATGACGACAACCTTTTTTTGGGGGGGTAAACTATCACAATACTATAATATATGGACTATTTGTATGGTTCATTTGGTGGCTTGATATGCTTTACTAAAATGAAGGAAAAAACAAAAAACAAACAAAAAAAACATTTGTTGTCCAAGTAAAAAAGTAGCAGTTTGAATGGGAGAAACAGAAATATAATTTTTGGGCGCATTCTCTCTTTAAAATCTCTTACACACACGTTGAGGGTAGGCATGGGCCGATTACCGGTTTCAAGGTATACCGCGATTTGAAAATTTCACGGTTTCAAAACCGCTAATATTTTCCGTTATACCGTTTCTGTGGTTTGCAATGTTTTCTCATGTCTCCTCAAAGACTGAAAGTGTAGGAATCCCTCAGGTTGAGTGCAGTGTAGAGAGTAACACAACCCTCCTCCTCCTGTTGGTGCGAGCGAGCGGTCAGTCACGTGTGTACGGTGTAGGACGGCCGAACTTAAGGAGCTTCCCCTGGAACTTACGCGATCGGCCGTTTTTTGTCTTATTGCAAGCAACTCGTCTCTGTTCTGGACTTGCACAAACTGCGCTGCAATGCAATCGTTTTCCAAAATGTCATTTATGTGAAAATATGAAGTCTGTAAACGCCCATTAACACAGGCCAGAGATGCTGAAGACGGACGCACGGAGAAAAATACTGTGGCAGGCAGATCACTCACCGTTTATGATGCACGAACTATTGGAAGAAAATCCTCAATATTGATTTGGGGGTTTATATGTTTCTGAGGGGAACTGCCTGTCTTCAGAAAAGTTTGTGGTATTTTCTTTCAATCTCGTCTCTGTATAGTTCATATTAAAGCAGTGTTTCAGCGCAGTGCTGCTTTGTTTACAGCGGTAAGCAAGGAAATGCCGTATCTGGTGTTCCATGAGCACATCCTGGGGTGTGTCCAAAATCGCATACTGCTTAGTAGGTACTACATTTGAATTTGAACGTACTACTCGACCGTTAAAAAAGTACGTTCTATATAGTATGAATGCGAGTAGTATGAATGGAATTCGGACGTACTACATCCGCCATGTTGATGTTGTCACGTGACATGCGTCTTCACAACAGCGCCAAAATTTAAAGAGCCCTCACTACTGCGCGAACATCAGCAATGTTTCACGTAATTCTTACCGCTTTCATCTGCGTTTTAACATTGATTGGATCAACAGCTCAGAGGAGACATCGGTCAGCTGCTCGCAGATCACGCCTTCGTCGACAGCTTGTAAATCATTTATCAAATAGGGTAAGTACAATCACTTATTTTAGCTAGCAAATTTTACACTTGAAAAGAGCCGCGTCGCCGCCTTCCGCCATTTTCGAATATGACGCCTCCTCTCCCGTGGCCTCATGGGATAGTAAAGTGTCCATCATATGCATGCTACGGAATTCGGGCGGAAGTAGTAGGTCATCCGGGTACTTCTCGCCTACTGTTTTTCGAATACTATGAATTCGGACATACTACTCGCCTCGCATACTGTTTTTCGCCTACTCTATAGTATAGAAATATGCGATTTCGGACACAGCTCTGCTCACAGAGAGTGAATCTGCGTCTCATTCAGAGCTTCTGCAGTTTGCTTCGTTCAGGCATGTAGTATAATTTCACAAAGCTAGTCAGAACATTCTGTTTTCGCTTCAAATTGGGTTATTATTCAATCAAATTATGTATATGAAATGATATAACTAAATGATATGAAATTATGTAAATGATATGTATATGAATTATATAACTAAATTAACTGCAATTAAAGATTTAGGCTAAATAAAGATGTCAAGTCTTTATTTTTCTTCTTTTTAGGAAACAAATAAAAAAAAAAATTTAACAAATTCTACTGCTCCTAATATTCTGTATGTTGCTCAAAAATGAAATATATTGTGTTCAGCGGGAAAAAGTTTTTTTTTTTTACCCAGTCATTTAAAGGTGTCATATGATGCGATTTCAAGTTTTCCTTTCTCTTTGGAGTGTTACAAGCTGATTGTGCATAGATAAGATCCCTGAAGTTGCAAAGACTAAAGTCTCAAAACAAAAGAGATATTCTTTATCAAAGTTAAGACTCTGCCAAATCTCATACCGGCCCATGCCTAGTTGTGGGCTACAATACCAGCTTACCTCCATGTCCATCATAGACCGCGAACATCGCAGTCTCATCATCCAACTCTGGGATGCAGTTGTGCGCGTCCTAGGAAACAGAAGAGGAGCTAGAGTCACTCTGACCTCACTGGCGCCAAAATAAATCACTCCTGCCATACACAACACAACAGCACACACTACAGAACCAACACGCTCACAACTGCATGAACCCGGGAAGCGTTAACCATCCAACACGCTTTAATCACACCGGCTAAAGGCCATCCTCTCGTGTGTTTATGTTCAGATGTCATTAGCAACCCACAAAGCAGCGGCAGAGAGTGAATGAAACGGTGTTTTACCTCCATAGACACTCGCCAGCCCTGCATGGCCGCGAAGCCGAAGAGCATGCTCTCATTCCCGCCGTTGCTTGCGGTCTTCTCCGTGTTGGGTTGAGACAAGTAAGCCCCCATGGTGTATGCGTTTCGTGAAAGAAAAGCACCTAATACTAAAGAAATCCGGTTTGCTGATTTCAAAGACAGGTGAAACGTCTGTGCAAACTAGGTACTTGTCACATTTCAGTGTGCAGTGGCCCTTAGATGAGCGCAGACCGGTGTGTTAGCCTGCTGCTGCTAGCCGACGGGCTGCTAACGCTGCTGCAGTTTCGAAACAAACGAACAAACACCGATGAAAGACGCGTCCCGGCGAGTCTGTCAGACACGGAGCGAACTTTAAACACGGAGGGGATAAATGCTGATTCGAATTGAGTCTCTTTTAAAACACGGAAAAGCCCTTAACACGTGTGAGTCAACATAATCTACTGTCCACCAGCAAACCCATTTCACAGAGGGCGGACTTTAGGCACACCGGAAGCGGAAGTCTGCTCATGCAGCGATGAGTCGATCGCCGAACGATTCGTTCATTTTGAGTGAATCCCCAGAGAGTGATTCGTTCATTTTTCTTCGTTTACGAACGAAATGCTTGTGGAGGTGAACTAATCAATTCAATTCCTCAAGAATCAATTCCCCTGCGTAGCCCATAAGGGCGTCACGTGACAAAAGACCGAACGAGGGCAATGAGCGAAATGACTTGAGTGAGGACTCGTTCATTTGGTGGAACGAGATTCAGAGAACCGAGTCAGTAATGATCCGATCAGAACGCGCGTGCGCATGGCTCATGGAAATTCGGGGCGGGATTTTGAGTCGAATCTTTTGAATCGCGCTAGCTAAAAAGATTCATTTATATTTACACGCTGTCATTTCATTTAGTGAGGATATGTTGACCGATTGGAAAAATCAGTGTAAAATTACTTGATTTGATTACTTTAATGTCTTTATTGTCCACTATTTAGACTCTATTTCATCAAAATTTATTTTTTTTAAAAAGTAAGCAGTAAGCAAACTGAGGCACTTTTTAAAGGTGCCAAACTGAATGCAGTATAACTCCTCAAGTTCTCACTGGTGTCCATATATATATATATATATAAAGAAAAGACGATCTAACGTTTCAATACACGTTATACACAAATATATATATATATATTTGTGTATAACGTGTATTGAAACGTTAGATCGTCTTTTCTTTTTGTGTGATAAGGAGTAGTCAGGTTTGGTATTTTTCTTGGAAACAAAGATTTGTTATTAATTTCCTGTTATGTTTTGGGAAGTTTTTTTATTCACAAGTGTCGATGGTTTAAATCTAAACCCAACTTTATTCAATGGTATAATGAGGAAAAACGAATACAAACCTTTAAAATGTGTTAAGAACAAGAAAGCCCTTAAGTTGACTTCTCTCTTGGTTTTGTATCATTTAATTTAAAAGCCCATTTTGTTGTATTTTTTTTTTTGAAGCATCTTATGTTGCCTATTTATTTTCTTTGTATTTTTCATTCTGGTTAAGTTCGTTTTATTTTGACGATTTTATTTATTTTATTTTTTCTGTTTTTGGTGATGCTCAACCAAGGCTGAATAAGAGGTGTTACATTCAGGAATGTGATTTTGTACCTTGTTTGGTTGTAAAGTTGATGCAATAGAAAAAAAAGAACCAAACTCAAGAATCAACAGGGGCAAGTTCAAGCTCAAACCGGTGTGCACCGTTTTGCTACGGTTTGACTTTGACTTGGCCACTCCAAAACCTTAATTTAGTTTTTCTTGAGCTATTCAGAGGTGGACTTGCTGGTGTGTTTGGGATCATTGTCCTGCTACATAACCCAAGTGTGCTTGAGCTTGAGGTCACAAACTGACGGCCGGACATTCTCCTTCAGGATTTTCTGATAGAGCGCAGAATTCATGTTTCCGTCAATTATGGCAAGTCGTCCAGGTCCTGAAGCGGCAAAGCAGCCTCAGACCATCACACTACCACCACCATGTTTGACTGTTGGTATGATGTTCTTTTTATGAAATGCTGTGTTGGTTTTACGCCAGATGTAACGGGACACACACCTTCCAGAAAGTTCAACTTTTGTCTCATCAGTCCACAGAATATTTGCCCAAAAGTCTTGGGGATAAACAAGATATTTTTTGGCAAATGAGAGACTAGCCTTTGTGTTCTTTTTAGTTAATCACAGTTCTTCCATGATTTAAGAGGAGGGGCAAATTATTTTTCACGAAGGGCCAGGTAGGTTTGGACAACTTTTTTCCCTTAATAAATGAAATTATCATTTAAAAACTGCATTTTTATCTTTGCGTAATATTAAAATTGGTTTGATGATCTGAATCTTTTAAGTGTGACAAATATGCAAACAATTAAAAAAAACAGGAAGGGGGCCAAAACTTTTTCACACCACTGTATACACACACCTTGCTACGTGTACTGCGTTAGGCTAACCGAGATTTGTCATTTGCACTTATATATTGTTGCTCTTTTGTTAGTTTTGATTGCTTCTATTGTCCTCATTTGTAAGTCTCTTTGGATAAAAGCGTCTGCTAAATGACTAAATGTGACTGTATATCAGAAAAAACTTCATTCCCATTAGTATGGCCACAAGAGTGAGGCCCAAACATAAGTGTCACATCCTGATTTTATTGACAGAGGGCGCTCAAACACAAAACATCACACATATTTTGGACATTTTATAAAACCACTAGAGGGCCTCTCTACTCATTACTGTTTGTTGATGCTTGTAAAATTGCAGAACAACTACTTGTAGACAAAAACTTTAGTCAGATCACCTGTCACATTTAATAGATTTTTTAAATTAAATGAATAGTTTAGTCTTTAAATTACAGCACTTTTTCATATGATTTTGACTTAGCCTTGAATGCATGGAAGTATTTTTTTTTTAATATTATAATTTTTTTTTGGTTTATTTACAACACAATATAATAGAACGTCAATTCTAAAGATTGAGAGCACCTTTAATCAAATTACTTTTATGGACCTTCTGCACCTCTAGGCGAGATTAAGCCGACTTCTGCGTGAGCATCTCCCAAAAATCCCGAGCTGAAATCAACATTCTCACTGACTTTTCACCAAATCTCCCAGAGAGGGTCATCCCCCAAAGCTGGCTGAAAAATGGGAGTCCCTGCTGTGATTGACGTTTCGAAAGAAGCCTGTCCAGATGGAGAGGTGTGAGAAAGTCTCTCAGCAATAGAGCCTGAGGGGGAGGAACATTATTCCCTCAACTGCTGAGTCACATGAGCCTCTTTGTTTGACCCACAGCAGCTGATATGTACAAACACACGCACATGGCTGGAGCGTGGGACTGGTGCGGCACTCACCCACCTAAACAAACAATGAAGAAAATCAGCAGGATCTTAGAAACAAATGACAGTCGGGCCACTAAATGAGTTGGAGATCCAACTGAGCCTTGTTCATCTCGATAAACCATGGAGGTCCTGCTAACACACACTGTCTGCTTTTTTTAATTAGCCAGCATCATTATTCATGAGGCTTTCCAATATCCCCAGACTAATGAGATGATCGACACCTAATCAGGCTTACGTCTCTACTGAAGTGGCCTGAGATGTATTTGTTTGCTCTGGGAGGGGGAGAACAAGCGTTCCCCTCTCTCTCTGTCTTGCGCTCTCCCCTTTTTTCTTCTTGATGTGAACAACTGATGACCCGGGAATGTGCGATCCCCCGGGGATTAGGGTTTGCTGAAGTCTATGGGTATGAAACACTGCCATCTGCCACCGGGCACATTCATATACTCGGCAGAAGGCCACATCGTTTGTTGATTTAAATGGAGAACTTAACTTTCCCAGGACAGTATGACCCTAGCACCCCCACCTCCCATGCAATACTGTCTGTGAGCGAACGGGAACGAGGCGTATTTTAAGGGATTCCCGTTACCACATGATGATGGATCTCCTTCGCACAATATGGCAGTGTGTCTGTGGATTCTGGGGGTGTGGGAGCATCTCCTCAGTTGATTGGTAGAATGCTAATGATTCTGAGAAAACTCGAATCAGCTTCATCCGAGCTGTCAGAGCCGGAGCACCTAAGCTGCTGCTGTAGACACAAAGTCAGGCTTTGGCCATTGTTGGAACAGATGCAAGGGAGGAACTTCAGACCATTAGACTGAATTCTGGCGCTAAGTGTATAATTAGCCAAAATAACTGATTTCAACTAGTCGTTATCAATCTTTGGAAGTAACTAGCTGAGAGTAGCGAATTAACTACATTTTTCATTCGTGACAGTAGCTCAGCTGTGGTGAAGCGTGAGAAAACTCTCTTTTTTTTTTACTGATATTTTAGTCACATTGCATTGCATTCACAGCCTGTTTTGAAATACACAAGATGTGGGCAGTGGAATGGGGGAAAAAATGCAAGGTCTAGAGACCTAAGCAGAATTTATTTTAACTTGAGTTTCTGTGTATTACTAAAAATCATAATATATAGGATTTTGAGCACTATTAAGCACCAATTTATAGCCAAACACAGACTAAAGAGAAACTTGTATTTGAAGAGGATCAGCTTTATGTGTACATGACAGTGTTATCAGCATAAAGTTAATTACAACAGTCATTAAAAATTGATGGTAAGTTATTTACATAAATATTAAAGAGAAGTGGCCCCAATGTTGAACCCTGGGGCACACCTCTTTCTTAAAGATCAGATTTATTCCTATAGGACTACACTTAGTTTTCTATTATGCAGGTATGAATTAAACCACAAGACTGCATTTTCAGAAGGCCAATAGCATGGAATATAGCAGATAGCAGTTTTGAAAAACACAAGATGCGGGCAGTGGAATGGGGAAAAATGCACGGTCTAGATACCTAAGCTGAACTTTTTATTAACTTGAGTGCCGTGTTTTTTGAATGCCGTGTCACAAGTGAGATGCTGCAAAAGATGTGATTGCAATTGTCAAACACATCCAGCAAGTGCATGTTTACATAGAAAAACAATGGAAAAGTAGAGCAGTGGAATAGAAAAATTCATTCTGTGTGAATGGCCCCTTAATCCCGGGACACACCAAGCCATCGGGCAACATCAGGTGGTTTTTAAGCATTGGTCGGCTTTAGTTTTTTCGGTGTGCTCCACATCGTTGGATTGTGTTGGATGGTGTCACCTGTTTTTTGCCCGATTCTGCATGTTGAATCGGTGGCGGAGCTCGTTGGCGAGAAAGAGAACTCAGATTGACTATTCAGCTTAGAGAATGAGCGCACAAGAAAAAAAAAAACCCAGAACTGATGAAAGCAAACTAATGATGGAGTAAAGATAGATAGATACTTGTCATTCTATCCGTTTCTTTCTTTCTTTGTTCACAACAAGACGACCAAGGGCTGACATGATTGAAAAAAAGCTACACAAATCCCTGCCCTTACAGCAAAGAAAACTAAAGCTGCAAATATTTATTTTAGTGATGATTTCAAAGAGTTCCAGTTCAGAGAGTCTAAGTTTTTGACTCATTTGGTTTTTAGTTCT